CTGGTGGGAAGAATTCAAATTCAAATTCAAACAAGGATAGTTGATCTCTGGTATAAAAGTAATATAAAATAAGTCATTATTATTAGAACTGGGAATTCAGGCGAGTTGGGCCTATTTGGGCTCAGCTCGAATAAGCTAGACTGTAACAGGCCCGAACCTGAACAGGCTCGACTTTCTAAAAAGCCCGAATAGCTAAATCCGACTCAAATATCCAAATTTTATTTTTAAAATCATTTTTAATTAATTTTTTTACTTTAAAATTAATTATTTTATTTTATAAAAATATAAATATATTTTTTGATACTTAAATAATGTATAGGACTTAAATATATGGTATTTTAGTATAAAATGACCTAAAACTTAAAGAATTAATTAATATTTATCATATTTTATATATTTTGTAAACATAAATTTTTTTATTCGGGTATTCGGGCTTGGCCCAAATTTTTTCAGGCCTATCGAACATAAAAAAAAAATCATATTTTTTCTAATATTTTTTTAAGCCCAACCCTAACTTTTTTCTAGCAAGTTTGAGCTAGCCCATTAGGCTCGGCTTGAATTACGAGCTCTTTATTATCACTTGATCTCGATCATCCAAAATGCCTAGACTACTGGATAGTGTAACTTACCCTTAGTATCGCAGAGCCCTTTCTCAGTGTGACTTTGTGTTTTAAATCTTAGGCCCAAACATAGAATTAAACATAGTTCTGGGGAACTCATTGTTCTTCAACAACTTGTACTCTCTCTTTCTGTTTTTTTTTTTTATTTCTTAATGCATTTGATTTTTCCTAGCTTATTGTGCAGATAGCCACACAGTGATCCAAGAAAATTGAAACAAAAGACTATTTGAGGAAATGCCCCTTTGCACGCCAACAATTTCCTTCAAATTTGATTTCATTTAGTATTTTCCTTCTGCTTTTAATTCGGCAATCCAATTTAATTGACGCAGATGAGCTTGAAACCCATGTCGTTTGAATTGAAATTGTAACGCCTTTGATATGCTTTGTACATGTGAGAAGTCACTCTACTATAGAACTTCACGTTAAATAATCTTTTTCTATTTTATAGTTAAACAATTCATTGTCATAAACTATAATAGAGCCGTGATGATCTCACATGCATTTATGGTATTATTTTAAAACTCCTTGGCCGGCATCCACGTTTGGCTCTTATAAGCGGATAATGAATGACGCTTTGATTATATAATATACTTACACACACAAAGTTAAAAACACGTCTTTATATGAAACAACCATGTGATTCAATTGTGAAAATAAAACAAGTACACCATGATTCAATTATTTCTGTGCAAAGATTCCTCATGATCCACATGACATATATGCACAGCGATATGACGTGAAGTTCATCGGATCCATCTTCCGTCTTTTATGGCTTGTTTTTATGTTTTAATTTACTTAATACTATTTTACTTCTATATGTATACAGACACTTAAAATTATATTTCTGTTTTTCAAAAGCAAGTTTGTAAAGTTTTTTTATTGAGCTTTATTAGTGTGCATAATACTGTCTCAAATTGTTTTATAATTTGAAACAGAGGTAGAATTAAATATAATTTTCTCTTAAAATTATTTTAGGATAATACATTAAGAAAAGAAAGACTAAATCACATAACATAGAAATGGATAATAAGAAAAGATGATATATAGCAAAGATTAAGATTCAAATTCTTGTTGACAGTGGTCGGGCTAGGACCCAGAGTTAGGAGATGTGAGATAATTTAATTTAGAATTTAATATATAATTTTTAAGAAGAATAATTTAAATAATTAAAAATAATAATTGCATAGGATTAAAAATGTAAGAACACAAAAGTATTTTGACCATCATTTTTATTTTTAAAAAATTATATTGAACATGTTAATATGATCTTTTATATAAATATGTTCTTCACATTTTATCTTAATTATTAAAATATTACATATCTAATCAATTTTTCATCCCTAAATATTTTTTTTATTTAGCTCAGAGGGTGTAAAATATAAAAAATAGAGGATACAAAGTTGTAAAGTTTACATAGTTATTTATAATTTTTCCTAGAGTGAGGGGCTGCAAGTAAACATGGCTCTGCATCTCACTTTATTTCTACCAAATTTTTTGTTAGATTCTTTCCACATCCAATGCACTAGATTAGCTATAATAATCAGAACGACAAATAAACACATCAAGTTGAAATAAAGTGAATGCATGTGAATGCCTCTGCGTGATTGTGGCCCAAAAAAGAAAAAAGTGAATGCACATGTGTTTCTTCAAATCATGCTTCGTTTCATTAACTATGTACATATCTCATCATATCTCATGCATGTGTCTATTATCTAATTTAATTTAATGAAATCCCCATGATAGGGATGTTATTGATGTGTTAGATCTTTAAATAATATGATATTAATTCTGTCTTCAAGATCTTCAAATATGTTAAACTTCTCACACTTACACGATAGCGTGGTAAGATTGGCATTATGCAGAAACAACTAATCACAGAAGATAATAATAAGTCTTTTTTATTTATTATTAAAATTTCGTGCATTTTCCAGACCGATCATTTTAATTTTATTATTTTATAATATTCCATGCATCACACGTGATAGTAAAAGCTAGTTGTAATTTTTTTTTTTAAAAAGGTACATCCATGATTCAATTTCTCTGGAAAGATTCCTCATGATCCACGAGGCATATATTATAATAAACACAGCCATACCACGTCCAGCTTATCAGATCCGTCTTGGGTCTTTTATTTCTTGTTTTTATGATTTAATTTAATTAGCACTGTTTTGCTTCTCTCTCTCTCTCTCTCTCTATATATATATATATATATAAGTTTTGGTATTGTAAAATCATAACCATTTTAAAAATTGATCCAAAAGTTGATATGGGAAATTGAGACAAAAGACATAGAGGGAAGCCATGTCTAGCTGATCGCTCAACCTTTTTTAAACAAAAATTGATTTATCGTTCTGATTATTGTAGCTAATTTAGTGCGGATGTTGATGGAATCTAACAAACATGAGAAGGACATATTTTATAGAAAAATAGGTAAAAACTTTGGATTATATTTGACTATATTTATTAATTATTAATATTTTATACTTATTTAACTAACTTTTGTAAATTTTCCTATAATGATAAAATAAAGAATAATTTTTACTATAAATTCTACTAATATCTTCTTCTTTTTATATAGGAAAAAAAGAATAAATCAATTGAAGAAAAGGAAGAAAAGAACACAATAATAAGAATCATATATCATATATTAAGGAATCAAATAAAATTTACGCATGATCTATTCGGATTTTGAGCTCAAGGATGATGTAGTGAATTATAAATAAACCTCATAATTCTCTTAAATCATCCAATATCATATTCAAAGGCTACGAGGCATATTTAGGAGTCAAAGGAGTTCTTCTGAGAGATTTTCTTTCTTCTCCTTCTTATGATTATATTTATATTTTTATTTGGGATTTTAGTTTGAATTCTATGAGTTAACATTGTTTTTAAGGTTCCAACAGGGATAGAGAGTAGCTTAATTTGGATGAATTTTTGATCTTTTATTTAGGTTTATTTTTTTTCCATTGAACATGATTTATTGTCTATGAGAATTTATTATTTATATTTATATCTCTTGTTTTAAGTACTTTTTTATGTAGAATGGTTGCCATATAATCTGTTTGTGAGCTATTCGAAGAATTGAGAGGTGAAGAGTTATAGATCTAGAGAGATAGTCATAGATAACTAAATTAAAGGTAGATATAGATAACTATATTAAAGATAATTTAGGATTTGAGATGGTTTAGGTCATAGCTTCATGGTTTATTTAAGGTCTCAATAGGATTAGTGACAGCTAATTCAACCTTGAATAAATACATCCTAATATACTGAGGGATAAATAAAATACTTTATTAATGATTATTGCTATAAATAAAAGGAAAATAATTAAACTATTGTAATAGCTGAATCTTCATCCTTAACGTTTGTCTAATCGATTCGTTTATCATTTTTTTGTCATTTTTATTTATTTGCTTTATTAATTATTAAATCCTTTTCAAAACTTTTATTTCTTTCTTTAAATAACAATAGTTATCTCTATTATCTGATACGACCTGGATACCTCAGATTTTAATCACATTCAAGTCGTGCAGTTGCAGCAGAGATCAAAACACGCTGGTGGAAAGAATATACATGAGATGAACAAGTATTTAGCATCAAACAAGTATTTGGTTTTTAAGAGAAAATAATATTTAATATATTATTAAGGAGAAAACTTTAGGATCTTGTTTAGTTACTAGAAAGGAATAGAATGGAATGGATTAAAAAACTAAACACAAAAATAAATTAAATCACCCTTCCCCCTATGGTAAGTATAATAAAACTTATTAATATATACTACAAACGTGAAAATTATCATACCTTCAAAAATTTTTATGAATTATGATTCTCAATTTCATGAACTAAATTACTCATTTTCCTTATGAATGTGCTAAGTTATCCCCTTCAATTATCTTATTTTTATCTTTTTTTTAATATATTTCATTTCATTCTTTTCTAGTACCCAAACAAGACTTAAGACTCCTCTTTTCTCTGAGCTCTCGTGCATGCTTGAGTGTGTTAATATAGAAGTGGCTATAAAAACCCTACTACATTGCTCAACTAATTAAAACAATACCAACATGAGCATCGTGAAATCAAAACATGACTTATTTCTTCTTGTGTTGTTCATTGCATGGGTCTGTTGCTCATGCCATAGTGTAACTGATGACCCACAAAGGATTGCTGCACCTATAAGCCTGCCACCTCCTCCCAGAACCCTACCACCTTCACCTCCGCCGCCTCCTCTTCCACCGGTTTGCCCTGCAACTCCTCCTTTCCCAGCACTGTCAACATCTCCTCCGGCGCCAGCTCGTCTAAATTTTGATTATTTTTCACTAATCTTGAGATGGCCAAATGGATTTTGCAAGATGGAAAATGCAGATTGCCAGCTAGTTGTGCCAAAACAATACTTCACCATTCATGGGCTCTAGCCATCTAGAAATTCTAGAGGAGACAAAACGTGTTGTCCACCATAAAATCCCATCACCGATGATATAGTAATTTCATTACAAATCTTATTTATTTTCAAAAAATGTTTTATTTTTAGTTCTAACAAATAACTAATAATGAAACTCCCTTCCTATTCAATCATCGTTTTGCATAATGTCTCTCTCTCTCTCTGTTTTTTTTTTTGTAGCTTAAAACATTAAAGGGGGATTTGTTGGAATATTGGCCAGCTTTAGAAGATGCGTCCAGCTTTGATAAGGGCAAGGAGTTGTGGGGAAGACAGTGGTTGAAGCATGGAACTTGTTGTCAGGAAAAATACAATGCAAAAGATTACTTAAAATTGCAACTCAATCTGCTCAGAAATATTCTAAACTTATTTTGGAAACGATGATAAAGAAAGGTACTCTACAACTCTACACTTGCTCATGTGGGTACTCTCGGGGATGCAACATGGTGCTCATTGCCCATCACATTTAAAAAAATTTATTTCATATTTATCAAATTAAAAAATTATAAATTTTAATAATAAATATGTTTATCACTAATTTGGATAGTAGATATTTAATCTAGAAAGTTCAATTTAATATTAAAATTTTTTAAAATTTTTATAAATTAATTACCTATAATTCATATCATATGTACTCTAAACAATCTAAGTTTAATATTAAATTATTTGTATATATTTTTATTTCAGTAAATCCTATATTAAATATAAAGATAATCTCATAATTGGCACTTATCAAAGAAAATATTTGTGAAAAACAAATTATAAGTTAAAAATTTTAAATCTGAACCATTATCTGGATAGTCATTTTATAAAAATTATAAAAAAATTTTAATATTAAATTTGAACCTTCCAAATTAAATTTGAACTATCCAAATTAACGATAAAGTAGATTTATATTAAGTTTGTTATAAATTTGTGTTGTAATAAATTAAAAGTTATAATTTTGAAGTATTGGAAACTTGGTTATAGAACAAAGGCATATATACAACTCATCGTTCTCGTACAAGTATATTTATTAGATTTTTAATAAACTATTCACATTTTTAATTTGTAAGTATAAGAACTATGGTTTATTATTAGGATTTCAATAATTGAAGGTCTATAATTTTCATTAATATCCTTATGGGATCTTTAATTGTCATTTTTCCAAAGGCCAATATTGGACATTATCAATAGATAATTTGATAAAAATTTTGGGTTTGATGCATACATAGATATCCTTCCTGATGGAACGATGACGTACGAGGCAGATAAAGTACTGCAAGCAATTGAGGAAGCCACAACAAAAAAGGCAGCCATAACATGCAAGAAAGACAAGTCTGGTAAACTACAATTCTTTGAGATTCGGATCTGTGTTACAAAAGCTGGAATCAGTTTACAAGATTGCACAAAGGCAAGCGCCACTTGTACTGCTGCTCCTTTCATCTTTGCCTCACCACCATCACCACCTCCTCCACCACCTTTGCCGAGGTAAGTTCAGTCTATAAATCCTTTTCTCTAATGTTTGGATATATTTTTTTAAAATTATAATTTTTACAATACTACATAACATAATCAATCATATTAATCAAATTTTTTATAATCACCAATGGATATCCAAACGAACCTTAGGGGTATTGGGATATTTTTTTTATAATTAATTTTGACATGTAATATATAGTATTTGAAGATATTTTTATACAACTATGGTTTTAATGACTTGATTTTCAATTCTATTTTATAAATAAATTATACCACGTAACATAATCAATTATATTCAAAGTCAATTATGTTAATAATTTTTTATGTGCATGAAGGGGGGGAGAGAGAGAGAGAGAGAGAGAGAGAGAGAGAGAGAGAGAGAGGGAGAGATTGTTCCTCATGTCACTTAGGTCTCACTTTGTTGTTGAAAAAGAAGAGAATGGAACCAATTGAAAAAATAAAGATAAAAATAAGATAATTAAAATGTGAAAGTGGATAGGTTAACTATATTCATAGGAGAGAAGGGTAATTTAGTTCAAGGGTTGAAAGTCATGATTTAGAGGTTCTTGAAAATTGTGATGATTCTCACATTTTATTGAGTTTTAACATGTTTACAATAAAAAAAATAGTGTTTTAGTTTATTTTTGTTTTAATTTTTTTAATCCATTATATTCTCATCCTTTCTAGCAACTAAACGAAACCTTAATTTGATTTGTTTTTCCTACAGATTTGTGTCATCAATCTGGGAACTGGAGGAAGCAGTCGAGCTATAATCACAGAGCAACAATGATGGATCGTAGAAGGAAATGAAGAAAGCAACTGAATTAAATAAAGGGCCAGGTTATCTAGCTGGCTTGTTGCCTGATGTAATATAATGAATAAATTAAAAATTTATTTACATATGAAATAAAGATGAGTACTTCTCTACTCATATGAAATTATTCACCAACACAAATTCCCTAACGACACGCTCTAGCAAGGTTTAATGATGAGATTTTTGAATGATTGAACTTGAAGCTATCATTTACTATAAATTTATTGCTTTTTAAATATACAAATCATTTAGGAGTCATTTGGTTGCTTGAAATGATATGAATGGGATGGGCTAAAAAAATAAGAATAAAATTGAACTCAATTATTCAATCCCTCATGGTAAACATAAAAATATTCAATATATTTTAAATGTAGAAATTTTCGCACCTATTAAAAATTTCAATAATCATGACTCCCAGCTTCATAAATTAAATTACCCTCCCCCTTGTAATTATAGTTAACTTTTCTCTTCTCCGTATTTTGTTCATTGTATTTTTATTTTTATTTTTTCAATCCATTTCATATTCTTTTCAAGCAAGGAAATGAGCCTTGTATTTTTCTTTGATCTTCTTCTTCTTCGTTGCTCCTTTTCTTTTGTCTTATTTCTTTTGTCTTATTTCTTTAGGTTTTTAAAAGCAATCTTGTTTTCACATGCGACTTCCTCCTCCTCCTCCATTTTCAACTCAGTTTTTCAATAGAATTTTGCTATTTCTCTAGACCAATTACTTGGCCGCTTTGCCAATTCACTAGTTCGGTCTTAAATATCATGTTAAAATAGAAATCATAAAAGACTAGTTGCAGATTATTTTTTTTAATTAAGAAACTTAAATGTCACTGGAAGAAAAAATAGCAAAAATGACCAAATGGGATGATTACATGCTGAAACTTAAATGTCACTTGCAGATCAGATGGGAAAATTCCAGGTTCTTTTTACTAAATATCTTCACCACTTGATCTTTTTTTTAGCAATTGTTCCTTATCGTTATAGGCATCTCAATTTCCTTGTCTTATCACTTTTTGGATGGCATTATACCATGAAAATTGCAATATTTATAATATATGAAATTATTGATCATCTAAGAGCATTTTCATCAATTTCATTTTCTTACACTTTAACAAAGCCCTTATACCTTAAGTATCATTTTAAAATTTTCATGGACAAAAGTGTGATGAGACTAAAGTATCACTTTCCCCTGTTTTTATAATTAAACGAGCTCAATATGAGATAATGTCCTTGAAGGTCACATACATGCATTTATTACATTGCCATATTTTTCTTTTAACCTATACAATACACCTATATGCTTCAGGATAAGCATCACATACTCTAACTAAAAAAAAAAAGAGAAAGAGAAATTGCGCTCTGGTTTTGTTCTCAGTGAATTTAGAAAGGTTTCCACCTTAAACTTCTATAAGTTCTCCCCCCATGGTTTTCATATGCAAAATCAAGCTGAGGCATGATCTTCCAAAGGATTGAGTCCACATGTTTGAAGTATTTTAGCCTCCACTGCTTCCAAAAAATAAGGGGCAAGATCACAATTCCAAGACCAAAAATAAATCCCAATTCGGCACTTAAGAAATTCCAATCAATGGAACTTCTAGAATTCAACATAGATGTTTCAGATGATGGTGGTGACAATGTTGGTACTACACTAAAATTGCAATTATGTGTCAATGGAGGTCCACATAGTCCTTCATTGCCTTCAAATGAACCTACATCAAATGACTGGATTTGGGTGCCAGCTGGGATTGGTCCTATCAAGCGATTGACAGAAAGGTTTAGAACTGCAAGGAAAGATAAGCTTGCTAGTTCTGTTGGAATATTCCCACTAAAAGAGTTTGCTGACAAATCCAAAGACTCAAGATACTTCAGATTCCCTATGGATGAAGGGATATGGCCCGAAAAGGCATTTAATGACAAATTAAGAGCATGAAGTGCTTTGAAACTCATAAGCTCTTCTGGTATTGGCCCTTCAAAATGGTTGGATGAGAAATCCAAAGAAGTAAAGGCAATAAGAATCTTTACCAACTTCATTTGTCTCCCTTTGTTGACAATTGTTACTGAATCTTGGTAACTCCTACCTCCAAAATCAACAAGATAGACATCATAGAATATGTGATCAATCACAAAAGGTGGCATTGCTTCTAGAATTTTGCCTAGTTTTAGTGCAAGATCTTTTGTAAAAAGGAAGTGCAATTCATTCAAAAAAACCCATGGGTTTAATGCCATCATTGATGTCAAAAAACAAATGGCCGGATTGTGGACCAGCTTCACCATCAAGCATGAGAGCTTTCCAACTTTGCAAGAGTGATCTTGGTAGGGTACCATTAAACTTATTGTAGGCTAGATCAACAATTTGAAGAGTGTCCCAATCTCCAGTGCTATGTGAGCATGCAAGTGGGCCATGGAAATTATTTGATCTTAAAATCATGACTTTTAAGGTGGATATGTTCTTTAAGAAGCAAGGAAATCTGTCAACTAATTGATTATTTCCAAGGTTTAACACTTGTAATTTTTTACAATTGGCTAAAGATTTTGGGATAACACCTCCTAAGAAGTTTTCATTCAGATCAAGGAACCTTAAAGCACAGGAAGTTGAAAATGTATCCAAAATTTGGCCTTTGAGTTTGTTCCTTGCAAGATTTAGTACTTTAAGAGTGCTATTGATCGTTCCTGCTAAACACTCAGGAATGGCATCATTGAAGCCATTATCAAAAAGATCAAGAACTCGGAGACTTGAAATTGTACAAAAAGATTCTGGAATTTTGCCATGAAAACTATTGTTTGAAAGAGAGAGGAAAAATGTGAAATGAAGTTTGTTATCAATGTCAGATGGGTCTATATAGCTAAATCTATTACTTGAGAAATCCAAGAACATCACATATTTTGAAAAAATGGGAGTGGGGCCTTGAAGTTGATTGGAATGAAGGTCAATTACAAACAGATTGGTGCTAATATTTTGAAAAGGTCCTTCTAAATCAGTCAAAAAATTATTTGAAAGATTTAGGAATACCATAAAATCAAACCTCCAAATCCAATTAGGTATGCTACCATGAATCTGGTTGCTAGATAGGTCAAGGTAGGTTAAATTGGATTGATTCCTCAGAAAGATTGGGAATTCTTTCAACTTGCAAGAAGCTAACAAGAGCGAATTCAATATGGGAAATGTTAACAAGTCATTAGAGTTATCCCTCAAAGTTGTATCAACTGACAGGTTGTTGTGATTAAGGCCTAGTGTGATCAAATTTTCCATCTTTCTCACAGCATCCAAATGCATAGTGCCATTGAACTTATTTGAGGAAAGTTGGAGAACACTAAGCCTTCTAAATTGAAAGATGGACAAGGGAATAGGCCCTTCTAGATTATTCCCACTAACATCAAGGATCTCTAATGAGGAGAATGATGCATTTGGGAATTCATCCAATACACCCTCAAATGTATTATGAGAAAGCATAAGTTCTCTCAAAGATGGAAGTGCAAAGAGACATGAAGGAACTCTTCTGTAAAAGGAATTTCCTACTAAATCAATGGTGATGAGATTGTCAAGACTTTCAAAATGAGATGATAAAATTTCACCTGTCAAGTGATTAAGAGAAACAGATAGATACTCAAGGTTCTTGGACATGTTGAAATATGGAAGACGGCCTGTGAAGTTATTGGATGACAGATCCAGAGAAACTAGATTTGTTAATTGAGAGACTGCAATCGGAATCTGACCCTCAAAGCCAGCATTTGACAAATTTAGATGCCTCAAGTTCTTCAATTTGTGAAACTCCAAAGGAATCAATGAATGGAAGTCATTGTAGGCCAAGTTCAAGTCTTGTAGATGCTGTAGGTTGAAGAGACCGCTAGCATTATCAAGTCCCCCCGAGATAGATTCTTCACTCAGATCCAAAACTATAACAAATCCCTTATTGTTGCATGTTACTCCATTCCATCGACAACAATCGTTACTTTGGTTCCAATGAACCAATTTTTGGGACTTGGCAGGGTTGAAAGTGAGGCTATTCTTCAAATGAAGCAAGGCAGATTCTTGATGGCTGGTAAGGCAATAACCAGTCACTTGAAACATATTGAAACTGATTAAGTTTATGAAGTGGAGGGACAATATCAAGAAAATCCATGAGTAGTTATTTCTCATTGGAATATTCTTTGGAGACGAATACGGGAAACAAACTGTGGCTAGTGATGGGTTTTGCCATAATCAAGTCATCATTTTATAGATGCTTTGTGAATCACTTTATGTTGCGTGTCTATTGAAATATACTAAGAAATTGGGTCCACATGGAAGAAAAAAATTACTGAAAATGGAGTACTGATCACGAAAACCTCACTAATCTATGAGAGGAAGATGGAAAGACTAATCGACGAATTAAAACACCGTATTTTGAATGGCACAGGTGAATGGAGACTAAATATGTCACAAAAGTCTACGAAGTGAGATGCACGCAAATGAATAGAAACATCATATTAAATGCCATGGTGCCGTTCTTGCGGGGTAGAATTACGTGTCATATCATGGATGACTATTCTAGTTCCCTCAATGAGAATAAAAAAATATTTTTAATAAATTTTTCTAGCATTTAATAATAACAAAAAAGAAGAAGTAAATATCAACATAATGGAGTGGTCACGAAAACCTCACTAATCTATGAGAGGAAGATGGAAAGACTAATTGATGAATTGAAACACCGTATTTTGAATGGCACAAGTCAATGGAGACTACAAAAATATCACAAAAGTCTACGAAGTGAGATACACACAAATGAACAAAAACATCATATTTGCCCATTTGGTTTGCTTGCGTTTCACGTTCAGAAATAAAATTTCACTTTTAAGATGTTGGAAGTTGTTTGGATAAAATATTTTATAGGAAAGTACATCCTGAAAGCACATTTAAATAATGGCTGAAAGTATATTTCTAAAATGTAATTATTTAAAGTTTTTGAAAAGTGAATTTGAAAAGTAGGATGTTATCTGACCATACTACCCTAAGTTTAATCTCTTATTCTTTTATTTAAAAATAGTTAATTCATTAAAAATATAATTATCATTTTAATAATAATAATTAG